CAGCAAGAGACTATAAAATAAAGAGAAAGGAAGAGGAGAAATATGCACAACAAGGAAATTAAGAGTCTGGGGAAAGGATAGGAATCAAAGGAAAATTAGCAAAGATACATGTGGGGCTGGATGAAGTTAAAAGACAAAAAGGAAAAAGAACAAAAGAAAGAGTAAAACTAAGAGGAGAAAAAGAGAACAACTAGAAATATTCTCCTTTGCTAAACTAGCACTTTGTCCAGCAGGGGAAAAATAAAAAAAGAAGCACCAAGAAAAGAATTAACTCAAGCAACAGGAAGCAAAAACTGGAAGAGTGTCACTCCTGACTTACACTAAAAGGTTTTAACCGAGAAGGAAGGTAAAAGCATCATAGTACTTTTTTAATTAAAATGCTTCCAGTGTCTTTAATCCTTTCCAAATTAGAAAGCAGGGTACTGTAGGCCAACTGCAGGTTCAACTTTAACACCTTCAACAAAAGTGAACGATTCCTGATTTTGTTTCCCCCCCTTTTTGCTCTCTCCCTGATCCTCCACTTCTGCTTTTTTTCATCAGTCTACCGGCCTCCCCAAGAAATCATCCTGAACAACAATACACAGGACCAAGGCCCAGCAGACGTACTTTTTCTGAAATGTGTTTCATTAAGTCACAAATAGGGCTCTGTTTTCCTACCTTTGATTAAAATGTTGTGGTATATGAGCACAAACCAGATTCTCTGCTTTTAAGAAAGCTTAAAATCAAAAGAAGCCAAATATTTTATTAGTGTTTGGGGTTTTTTTAAATTATTTTTTTACAAAAAACAGTATTTAACCTACAAATATTATCTTTACCATGTGACGTGCTGAAAATCCAGCATTTCCTGCACTGATATTAAAGTTGTTTCATATATAAGAGAATATATATTGTATAATATACGAAGTTGTAAAGGAATACAGTCTTTTCTATTTCATAGAGCTGAGCATAAAGATAACTATATGGCAGAAACTCAATAAAAAGTAAACACTAAATAGAATTTGAAGCTTATTTAAAAATCCATTCTTACCTAAGGTAAGATTTCTTGCTAGTATAGTATATACTGCCCATGTCAGTCAAGTTCCCAGGTCGTTACCCTAAAATTAGTGATGAGTAGAGTTTCCTTTAAAGCATCAGGTATTCCTCTGAAAATAGAATCTTACTAAGGGTCTACATTTAATGGGATTTCAAAAAATTATGCATTCTAAGGGAAAAATGCATTAAATGAAGTCAATTAAATGTATATGAGCTAGAAAATGCAAATAAGTCCACAAAGAATACCAATACACACCCAACAGAATGCTAAAATTAAAAAGACTGACAACACAAATGTTAGCAAGGATGCACAACTGGAACTCTCAGAAATTGCTAGTGGGAGGGTAAAATGGTGCAACCACTTTTGGAAAAAAGCTCAGAAGTTTTCCATATAGTTAAACATATCCTACTACCCAACCTCATGACCCAGCAATTCCACTCCTACTTGTTAACTCAAGAGAAATAAAACACATGCCCACAAAATGACCTATATAGGAAGGTTCACATCAACTTTATTCATAATAATCAAAAACTAAAAACAACCAAAATGTCTACCAATAGGAGAATGGAAAGCAACTTTTGACATATTCATATGATGGAGTACCACTCAGCAATAAAGAAGAACATATTACTCATATACACAACATGAATCAATCTCACGGACTTTATGCTGAACAAAGGAAGCTGGACACAAAAAAAGAGTACATACTGTCTAATTGCACTATCAGAAGTTCTAGAACAGCAAAACTAACTTATGGTTAAAAAACTTAAAAGCTGGTAACTCCTGGTGAAACATTATTGATTGGAAAGGGGTACGAGGGAAATTTCTAGGATGCAGAAAATTATCTACATCTTAAGAAGGATATGGGTCACACGGGTGTATGTATTTTGTCAAAATTCAACAACTGTATCCTTATGATTCATAAAATTCACTATATATGAATGTTACATTAAAAATTATAGCATTAATAATTATAAACAACTATTACCCTAGTTAGTTGGTCTGCTTATCATGATGGTATGAGTAAGCAATTCTGAAACTACTTAATGTATATTCTAGACTCAAGCAAATGAGTAGACGTATTGAGGATGAAGGAAACTAGGTTTCTCACTGCTAAAAAAGGTAGTAACAAATATAGAAAGGAAAAAGACTGGGAAGTATCTGAAATGTCAGATTGAATTAGGAGGTATTTCCTAATTCATTTCCTAATTTTGTCTGCTGACAGGGTCTATAATCAATGATACAACTAAAGCAACGAGCACACAAAGTGCCTATGTCTTGGTTTCTAAACACCTTTGTCCTCTTAAAGGAACCAGGACTCCTCGGAAAAAACGCTGATTGCAGGACTGGGACAAGAACATGATGAGCCTGGAGCATCTGTTTGCAGTAGAAACTAAGTAAGACCTTGAATAATCATGGAGACATATTAAACTAACAGGATCCAGTTTGAAAGGACTCCCATTGACTAAATCTTGGGCAATCTGGGCATCAAAATAATCATAGTAGTGAATTATGACCCACTGAATAAAATAAAAATCCAAAAGCCATGGTGATATGAATAAACAAATAAACGAATAAGACAGGAAATTATAGTAGAAGGTCAACTAATAAATACAGAAATTAGGGAGTTAAAATGGATGTTTTATGAGAATGAGGATATTTACATAGTGGCAAAGTATCTTCCCACAAATTACTTATTACTTACAAAGGGAAAACAGTAACTTTACAATGAAGAAAGTTGGTGAAACCAACTTAAACAAGTATTCACTGTTAACATCATCAACACTGGGATAAATCAACATCATGTACTTCCTGATCTGGTGCAGTGAGAAGGGCACAACATCACTTTGGTGGTGGAATATCAAAGTGTATAACCTGAATTTAATCATGAGGCAACGTACATGAGACAAACTGAAATGTACATGGGCAGTCCATAAAGTACAGTCATGCTTAACGACAGAGATGCAGTCTAAGAAACGCATCGTTAGGAAATTTCATCATTGTATGAACATTATAGAATGTAGTTTCACAAACCTAGATGGTATAGCCTACTACACACCCAGGCTATGGGTGTACTATAGTACTATAGTAATATATATATTACTATAGTACTATAGCATGGTACTAGTCTTAGGAGACCACTATCTTATATATGCAGTCCATCGTTGACCAAAATGTTATGTGGCACATGACTGGAACTGGCAGGTTCTCTTCAAAAGTGTTATAGTCAAGAAAGACAAAGAAAGACTGAGAGATCATTCCAGGTGAAAGGAGGCAAAAGAGACATGACAATTAAATGTTATATATGATCCTGAACCAAGGATGAGAAAAAAAATCTATATAGGTCATTACTGGGATGACTGTTGAAATTTAAACATTGATTATGGATTAGATAATAGTAATCTACGGTGTTAAATGTGAACTTCTTTGATTTTGATAAGAGTGCTGTGGTCATGTAAGAGAGTGTATTTGTTTAGAAAATACACAGGGTATATTTTAGAGTGGTGTGTTGTCTCTACCCTTTTCTCAAATGATTATAAAAAAAATTGATGAAAGAGAGTCAATGATAAAGTAAATGAGGTAAAATGTAAATAATTGGTGAATCAGATAAATAGTACATGGGAATTACATGTACTATTTTTGCAATTTTCCTGTAAGTTTAGAATTGTATCAAAATAAAAGTTACCAAACACCACAAAAAATATGTACATGGCCAATGTTTATATAAGCTACAACAAGTCCTAAACGTACATTCCAAAAAATGACAACGGGTTTTCTGAACGAAAGAAGATTCTATGGCCTAATAAACTTACTCACTGTAATCCCTTTTTGAAGAGTCACAGTGCACTTTAATAAAGAAGGCTATTTAACTGGATTTAATCCAAAATTTCCACAATAATCTGTTCAGGAAACCTGGTTAAAATGGAACACCTATTAAAATCTTACAAAAATATCAATATTCTGTGGAAAACAGTTGGAGAACCACTTGTCTAGTAAATACATTTCTTATACATGGTTAACTAAAGAAAGATTTGTGCTAGGAAAATAGACAGAGACCTACACACACACACATACATATACAGGAGCAGTGTCAGCTTCAAACATTAAGAGAAAAATGACATGAACCTAAAAAAAGGTATCTATCCAAAATGTCCCACCTAGCCTCATATAGTATGCTCTTGTAGGACACATTTTTAAAGAGGGTAGAAATTTGGTAAACTGAGTTTTAGTTTTATTCAGCCATTAAATTGAACTTCACGTGATTCTCAATCTGATCCCTCCCATGAACAGTATAGTAGAGTAGATTCCCTGCCTTAGTGAGGTCCTACTGTGGGCTGGCACAGTGCAAGGATCAGAGAGCACAAAGATGAATAACATACAACTCCCCCCATCCATAGGATTTCAGTCTAATGAGGGGGGGGTTGGAAAGTGAACCACATGCAGTGAGAACTCTGATATTCCAGAACAAGCATTGGACTTTATGAGAACACAAAAAGGCAGCTAATCCAGGCAGAGAAAGATCGGGGAAAGTTCCCTTGAGGAGATGACATTTAAGCTAAAATAAGTTAAGATACATGCCAATAATTCATTGCAAAAATACATGTATTTAAAATACATGCTGAAATTCTTTGAAAAAATATTCAAAAGGTTTTTTTAAACTTTATTTTAGCCACCTAATGTTAGTTCTGCACGTACATGGCATTGTGTAGTTAAAAAAAAAAATAAGAAAGAAAATGAAAATACACCCATTAGTTTTAAAATCCAGGTACAATTCAAAATCTAAGAAGGACTATGACACTGAGTTTGTCGCAAACCACCACCTCAAAATTCCTTCTAAAGCTCTTCTAGACTTACCTAGGTATTGAGTGTAGAAGTACAATAATTAGAAGGGGGGGGGGAGGAACAAACTGAAAAAAATCAGAAATAGAACAGTATGAGAAGACAAGAAATGCTAAGTATTGTTTACCTGTCAGCTGACATTGATTAATCTTGTGTTCTGTGATATCGCTCAGTGATTCGAACACCTGGAGGCAGCTGTCACAGCTGTGCACAGCTTCGTCTTCCAACTCCTCTCCGTCTTCCGGCCTCTTCTTACCGTCTATTGCCTCTCCATCTTCGGTCTTGTCTTCAAGTTTACAGTTGGGGTCTGAAAGAAAATCAAGTCTCTAAGTATGGGGTTTAAAGACAGGTTCTTTTAAAGTAACGTTTAATCTTCTTGCCACTAAAAACAGACACACGCTTTTCCTGAAGTTGCAATAGGAGGGCTTCCTTGCAGATTTTATTACAGAAGAACCAAAAGTTAGTCTTCCCTAAAATTTTTCAGTTCGTGATGATTGAAGTTTTTCCTTTTCTCCTCCACCATGTAGCCCTCTTTCCATCTCCTTCAAATAATTTGTCCACCTTTAATGTTAACTTGCCACTTTTTTATAGCCTTTTAGGGGTTTTTACTTAAAAGAGAGAGATAAATCACTTTTAAAATTAAACAGTCTCCAATGGAAAGGAGAAAAACACTATGCTTGAGAATTAACTCCTTTTCTGCTAAATATACTCTTTCACGGGAAATTACCAGAATTAGCCGAAAGTCTAGAATAAGCTAAGCTAATTACCATAGGCACGAAATTGACCTTTACGTAGAAACTGGTCAAAACACAGTTACCCCATTATTTGTTAGACATCGATAGCAAAATAAGCTCTACCACACAGCAAAACATTCTTACAAACACAAATTCAAGTGTAAGTGTAGTGGTATGTCTCTTGGTTTCAAAATCATCAAAAAATGAAACCAAATATGCAAAGAGCAATTATAAATTATAATCAGGTCAACAACTTGAGTCAGCATTATCAACATTAAGAAGCCCGATAGTGGGAAAACTAAAAATAATTCCATTTTAACCCTAAAAATGATACATACACAAATAGCAAGTGTGTGTGGGGGGGATGCAGAAGAGAGTTACACACATGTAATTTTTAAACTTAGAGCTCAATAAGCACTTTGTGATTATTTATGCTGTACTTTCACTCCCTGTGGACAGGTATCCCCAAACATCCTCGTGCCATGCCTCCTCTTGGCAAGAAAGCAAAGGGGGAGAGAATGTGCCTCTTTTGGAGAAATTAGGATAATAGAATCTGTGACTTAATTTACGGAACATTAATTTCTAATAGAAAAAGTCCTCCAAAGTCAGATGTACATTTTGTCTCCAAATAGAGGAGTCCATGAAATAGTTATAAAAGAGTTCTATCAAGATACCAAAGAAATATGTAAAGCATTATCTGTAGTCAAATTGTTTTAATATGCCAGGATAAGTACTTGAAATGTTACAATCAAGAATTCCCTGACCCAAAATTAGCCCAAATTTCTTAGAAAAGTCAATAAGGCACCCCACCACCATCCCGTCGTCTGAACGCGCTTTCTGCTACCTTGCATGTAACGGGCTGCTACGAGCCCTCCTTCTACAAGTCACTACGCTCCCTTTCTTTCTGGCAGTTGTTTCAAAGCCTTTCTTCACATCTGCAATAAACTGAACTATATCATCACCCTTCAAATGATTCACATATGCCAAAATCAACTTACATTTCAACATATATCATAATCTCTAGGGTTCATGCAAAAAGCAGAATTCCCATCTCAAAGAGCAAGCAGTCTTGTTTGTTTGCTTTAAAAAAAAAAAAAAAAGAATGTAGTGTTTAAGTAAATTGGTAATTGGGTTGATTTGCCATCTGGAAAATTATTATCTCAACACTCTACACAGTGCCCATTTCAATATACTGGAGTTTAGACCGCTCCTTCCTGGGGGAGTAATCACAGGATCTTTTTCGTTTGTCTTGTACTTTGCCCAGCACAGCACCGTGTCCAGGTGAGTGCTTAGTAAATATTATTTAGTGATGACGAGAAGGGAGAGGAGGGGGGTAGAAAAAAGTACATAAAAAAGTCCTTTACTGGTATTTTTTCTGTAAACAGGAACAGACCAGGTACCTGTGAATTAAAAAGCGCCTAGATGCCTACATTTTCCCAAATCGACACTATATGATCCACCACATTTGACTTTGCTGGTTTCAAACGTTTCATCCAGACCTACAGACGCAACAAATGAGTAATGCTTTAAAGATCTCCAACAAACTAAAACCAAGCATAAAATACTGCCAAAATAGAGAGTAATTCAGGAAAATAAATAGCAGTCCCAATTATGGCAAACTGGCCCCCACACCATTAAACACTTGTTGGAAGGCAGCAGGCGCACACTGAATACTGTTAGTTGTTTAGCATGAGTTTCCAGTTTCTCATAAAACTGACAGCACTCAGGGAAATGTGGGTGCTAGATCTGAATTTTAATATGATTATTTAAATGCTACACATCAAGTTTGCAGGCCTGTTTGTTTTTAAATAAGGAGACACTCTGAATACTTTAAGTAGTATGCAGAGAAAAATGATAAAAACTCACCTCCCTTATTAGTCAAGAATACGGACACTTTACACGAATCCAGTATCAAAAGTATCAAACAAATAGGAATGCATGCATGATGCTTTAGCTCTTAAAAGCTAAAGAATGACTGCAGTCCATGCTTCTGACACTATGGCTAGTTATTAAAATGAGGGTCATTTTAAGACTAATAAAAAATATTTTTGCTTCCACTTCTGCATTTACAGATAGAACCCTTCTGGGACTGAAGTCAGTCAAGCTTATTCACTTCTGCTGCAACTTTAGGATGCATGCTCCAGCCAACTGGCGAATTTGTTTTTAGGTCACCACTTAAGAGGGACCCTCTAGGGGGTGGGTGCGATTATAGCCTACGATGCCTTGGCGTAATGAGCGCTGGAATCTCGGTCTCTTTCTTTGCAAGTAGATTTTTTCCAAGCTCCACTTTCATGAAGCATTCTTTCTCGTCCATTGAAAAGATGTGTTAATACATGTTAGGGGTTTCCATTCCTAATGTCACTTGATGTAGGAAGATTTGAGAAAGCTTCCATTGTCAGCCATTCCTTTCCCACAGGTGGCTACACTTCAATAATTGCACATGGCCTTAGTTATGTAGTTTTTATAAAGTCCTTTGAGATCCAATCATAAAAAATAATTGTATTACTCTGCTAGCCATTCAAACCTCTGACTTCAACCTGAGGGGGTTATAAATGCAAGGTCCCTGCCTGTAAGTACTGCCCTGCCCCCAACACCACTGTAAGAAGGACAATTGTTCTTCCAACTCCATTGTTGTGTTCTACACTCACCCAAAGGGCAATATTGTAAATATATGCATACCCCCTGCACTGCAACTATCAACTCTGTCATAGCTGCAGGCACCTCTCTCTGTCCTTTGCCTTAAAGGATGCTCCCAAACATGTTGCCCTAAAGGATGCTCCCATCACAAATGACCTCACCTGCACAGCCAACTTTCCGGCTCATCCTTTCAAAGGGTGCTATGAAGCACTGGACTTATAGTGTTCTGACTTGGATAAAAGGCTTAATTTTGGAACAAAGACACAATTATTATTACAAAAATAAATGGCAGCTTTCTGTTTCCAATTTTGTTGACATTACTTATAAATGGAAATTCTAAAGAAGTATGCTTTTCCCCGTATTGTGTTCCCTGGCAGGTGGTTCTTTCCTTCTTCTCATCTTCCTCTTCATAAGGGTTGTTATTGCTATAACTTGGTTTAATAAAATTACAACTTAGGGGAAAATGAAAAATTGCACTGGCTTAAAAGTGTTGGAGGCAATAAACTCATGGACTTCAATTAATTTCAAGTGTGGGATCAGTTTAAGGCCAACCAGCAGAAATTCTATTCTGTCCATGTAAAAATGAGGTTTCACCACATTTACTTTTTATAACCTATATAAAAGTCAAGTAAAAGTAATGAATATCTAAAAGCCATCTCAGTGGACTGGCAAAGACTATCTGTATTCTTGAAACTCATCTTACATATTTCTCTCTGTGCTACAAGGATCCCATGCCTGATCAAAGCTAAAATGTCAAACCACTGAGAAAACAGCCCAATTTCCAATCCATTTCACTGCCTAGAAACGGACCTCCTTCCAAGCCACTTTTGCATGGAAAAGCACTGGCAAAAGAAAGAAAAACTAAGAGATCATGTGGTTATAATTATTACCAGGCAAGGAATATTTCTGCAGCTCAGTGGTAAAGTAAAACTCTGTCGCTCTCTGCTCCCAATAGTGTCCATCGCAAAACAACTGCCTCATTAAATCTCTGCAGTAAGATTAATATGCCGTAGCTGCACTACATTTATAACTTGGTACTCTATAAAAAGCACATTTAATCGTAAGAGCCAGAGCCTAGATACAAAGTATTACTATAAAAACTTCTGGCAGCGAGTACACAGAGCAGGCCCTCTGTCCTTCTTGCAGGAGATATAAATGAGGCTTTTCCTGGTGAATTCTAAGCATGAAGCCCTACCTTAAAAACCAGAGTTAGTTTTTATGAGAGTGGCAAGAAACACAAGATTCTGAGGATGATGTAAATATGAAATGCAAGAAGATTACTTAACAACTAACATTGGCAAGAGATGAATGAACCCAAAATACTCCACTTATACACACATGCAAACTTAAAACTGGACCATTTCCTAACAGTTTGTTCTCTGGTCATAGCCAGCTTTTCACCAAATTAAACAACCATGGCATGAATTACTCAATCTTAAATCAACCCACACAGTGCCAGTAAGTTCAAGAAACTACCAACTAAAAAATGTGTACTGCCTGAAAAAAAATAAGTTTTGGCTTCATTGTGATGACTATGACCTCCTGGATCTTAATTACCTAAAACTATAAAAAATAAATATTCAAGAAAAAGTGAACAACACTAAAGTACTAGTGGACTAGGAAAAATACACTGTTTTTGTTACTTTAGAAAGCTGCCTACGTTCTTTCTTCCAAGGATATCTTCTGAAAATGAAAAGAGCATTATAACCCAGTGTCTTATTTTCAGGAGCTCTATGATGAATAAGTAAACAAATAATTTATACGAATACGTTCTACACTCAAATCCCACAAAGCACTCAAAACAATGCACCTCAAGTTAACAAGTACTTTGTGCCAAATAATAATTAATTGTTCAATGCTGTTTTTAAGGTTCACCTGTGTACACACAACTAGCCTTGTAGGGCTGACTGACACGTTTAGAATTTCCATGCCTAGA